TGAAAATCGTTTATCGAAACTTAAACAGTCTGAGTTCAACTTTTATTACAGTTTGCATAAAATAAAAATTTAAAAAAAAAACAATTTAAAATTTCTAGTATTTAATTTTGTTTAAATTTTTAATACAAAAAATTAACCATTGCAAAGACGTAACAATTTAATAAAATTTTCTATTAATTTCAAATATTGATATGAATTTTAGAAAAAAAAAAAACTTATTTTTTCAAAATTTTAATTCTATTATAGCAAAATTAATTAAAAAACAATGGTTTTTTTTTTTTTTTTTTTTTTTTTGTTAAGGGGGAAAAATTGGGCAAATTACAAGGGGGGAAATACTCCTTTGTTACGATAAATTGTCAGTAATTGATCGATGATTTAACCGCGGCGGGACAGGTAGGTGAAAATTTTCCCGCGGGGGGAAAGCGGTTCCCCCGTCTACCGGCCAAAACCGCGTTGTGTTTAACCGGGGGGGGGACGGGGAATACGGATCCCGTTGCCGTACTGATTCCGGTTTGACCGGAAGTGACGACGACGGACGGAAAATTTAAATTTTTGCTTCAGTGAGACATGTTCCCCAAAAAACCTACAAAAACGGCAAAAAATAGCATTTTCACTACTTCCGGTTCACGGAAAGGGTGACGTCGCCGGAGTATTTTGACGCCCCATTAGATAGAGCTTGAATTTTAAACAACTTTGCTTCTTTGAAGCATAACAAATTCTCAATACTTTTTGAATATCGGGAAAAAAACTTTTGGCCCCTCTACCCCTTTTAATTTAGGGGTAGCTTTTTTAACAACATTTAAAAAGATTTTTTAAATTTTAAAAAATTTATGTTTATATATTTTAACAAAATATTTTTAGTTTAGAAGATAAAAAGAAAAATATGAGAAATTTTTTTTTTTAACGTTCTAATTTTTACCCCAAAGCCCCATTTTGAAAAGAAATGAAAAACAAAAACCGATGTGCACAACTTCAAACCTTCATTATCTAAAACCAGTAAAATTTCTCCAGCTTAAGCCGTCTCTAGCCTTTGTCTGGAAAGAAAGCCTAAAATTTTCCTTTAAAAAGGGAAATAACCAAAAAGGAAATGGCTTTTTTAAAAATTTTTGACATCATTTTGTAAGTTTTTTTTTCGTCTATAAAATCTAAAATTTGAGGAAATCGTTGAGAAATGAGCGAATAAGGCCTCAAATTGGGTCAGGAAGCAGAAGAAAAAAAAAAAAAAACTTTACCCAGAATCAGTAAAGGTTTCCGTTGGGAAAAGGAAGACCTTAAAAAAGCCCCCTAAAAACAAAGAAGTTTAGTATAAATTTGATAAGCAATTTACTCCCTATGCATGATCTGTAAGTGTAGCAAGACCAAGCAGAGGAAAATTTTTAATAATGTTAAGCACTATTGTCAGACACAAAGCTTTTGAGGAAAACAATCATTTTTTGTGTGGCTTAAGCAGAATCTTTGTTATAAAAAAAAAAAAAAAAATTATCATTTTAAATCTTCATTCATATTTGAAATTTAAAAAGGGGTTATTTTTAGAAAATTTTATTTGCGCATCAACAAAGGTTTGTTACTACATGTATATGTAATTTCTTTATTCTCTCTCTCTCTCTCTCTCTCTCTCCTCTCTCTCTCTCATCAAATGGAAAAGAAATGAAGTCCATTCTTCAATCTGCAAGAGAAAATTGGTAGAAAAAACGCTAAACTGATTTTTTAGCTCACCTGAGCAGAAGGCTCAAGTGAACTTTTCTGATCACATTTTGTCCGTCGTCCGTCAGCCTGTCCGTCCGTCTGTAAACTTTTCACATTTTCAACTTCTTTTCAAGAACCAATGAGACAATTGTAAACAAACTTGGTACAAAGCATCTCTGGGTGAAGGGAAGTTAAATTGTTAAGATGAAGGGCCAAGTGTCCTTAAAGGGGAGATATTCAAGAAAAGACAAAAATAGGGTGGGGTCATTAAAAAAATCTTATTCTCAAGAACCACAGGGACAGGAAAGCTGAAACTTATGTGGAAGCATCATTGGGTAGTGTAGATTTGAAATTATTAAAATCATGACCCAGGGGGAAGGGTGGGCCACAATAGGGAATCCAAGTTTTACATAGAAATATAGGAAAAATCTTTTAAGAATCTTCTTAAAAACCACTGGGCCAGGTAAGCTGAAACTAATGTTGAAGCATTCTGGGGTAGTGTAGATTCTAAAGTATTTAAATCATGAAAGGATAGGGGGTAGGAGGCACGATAGGTATAACAAGAGGGGAAATCTGGTAAAGAACTGCGATACCCAAGTTATTCAGGTGAGCGATGTGGCCCATGGGCCTCTTGTTCAATTAAAGGAACAAACTATTTTTATGGCAATGAGGTAAATCAAAGTCTCTTACAATAGGGACATTTAGCTCACAATATAAGTAGGCAACACATAAAGAGTGGTGATGTTTCATTTTTTTTACAGGTGAAGCAAGAAGAAGAAGACCAAATGAACTTGAGGATAAAAACTACAATTTAGATAATGAGAGAATAGAAGAAGAAATTTTAAAGATAAAAGAAGAGAGAGAAGTCCTTGCAATCAAGAAAGAGGTCTTGCTTTTAAAAAAACAGAAACTTGTTTGTGAGATTCAGGCTTCATATCCCTCTTTTTTGACTGAGCTCTCTGCAGAGCTGTAGTTTTTCATGTTTATTAAAAGAATCATTATGAAATCATTATGAACATTAAACAAATAATGTTTCTGACTAATTTTCTTTCTCATTACATACAAAGCTAATTTTCAAAAATACAAAAAAAACAACAAAACAAAACAGAGTTTTCATAAGTCAGCTTTTAGTGACTTAGTAGTTCTTAGTTAAACAAGGGGACCATGGGCCATATTGCTCATCTGAGCGAGTCGATTGGTCATGAACAACATTCTTACTGACAAAATAAAAAAAAAATCCATTGGTGTTTGCCACTCTCTTCATGACACCATCTCTCTGGTCAGGAAGTTGAAATGAATGTACGTTATGGAATGCTTCTGCAAAGAATGTGGTAAAATGTCAAGCTCCTTTGGAGCGGGGATATAAATATTTTATTATAGCTAGTTTTCTACTACTACTGTATAAGTTTTTTTTTTTAATTTGCTTGAGATTTGATATTGACACATTTCTATTCAAAACATTTAAGACCTCAGAAGAACCCTTGTGTGATAGATATCCTCTTTGCAATTTCATCATTTCTTGCCTGTGGCAAAGGACCATTAATTACATGATGCTGGCACTCTGCAATATTCAAATCTCGGCAGTCACTGCTGATCATGGTGTCCTTTCTCTCCACGCCAATGTTGTGAAGTATACTACATGCTGTAATGTATGTGACTGCCTGGTCAGGTGTTGTCCGGAGACCAAAATGCAAGGCCTGGAATTTCCTCTTTAGAATGCCAAAAGTTTGTTCTATCACAACCCTGGTTCTGCAAAGACTTGAGTTAAATCTCTCCTCAGATGGGTCACGAGGTGTCAGATAGGGAGTTAATAAATATTTCGTCAGAGGATACCCAGAGTCTCAAAGTAAAATACCATCAACATCACCTGCATTAAAATGAAATGTGATTGTAGGTATAATTCATATAATTTGCTGGTAGTTGGCCTGTGCAAAAGAAGGTTTTGTATGCATATTACAGTCATGTAGTATTTATATAGAGAATATGAAGTACTGAAAGAAATTATTAATACTGGTACCATTTTCAAATTTTTGGTATAAAGCAGATGTCCTCCAAATTCTGGCATCATGACAAGACCCAGGCCATCGGGCAGAGAGTGAGGTGATTCGGAAATTTGGATCACATACCATCTGAAATAAACATAACATTATTATACACCTGTTATTTCATTCCATAAATTAAAATATCTATTCAGGCTTTTATTTATTTCTTTAAAAAATGTTAGGAGGGAAACTGAATGAGATTTCAAAATATTTATTTTGTGAAATACACACATAGTACCTGAACGTTCAAGCTATGTAGAATATGAAAATACTTTTCACCATAAGTAAATAAATAAAATTGTTGTTTTACCTGTATGTTCAAACTGTGGAACCCTTTCCGGTTCACATAGTCAGCTTCATTTTCATTTGGTCTACTGATTTTGATCTGGGTGCAATCTATACATCCAATTACATTTGGAAAACCTGTAAAGACAAAGTCATGGTCCAACATATACACTGTACATATATTGCAGTGTGATTTTTTTTTCAATTATTACAAAAATATAAATTACATAGCCGTAGGAACCAGGGTAGGGGGGCAATTATGCCATTAAATACATGTAGAATTCTATAGAAAACATAGCTATTACATGTATAATGCTAGTGTCCCCCTCAATAAAAAAAATTATAATGACTACCCCCCACCCTATTTTTCATCAAAAGCTTTTTGTTTTATTTTTCCTCTTTTTTTCAATTCTCATATATTATTTAAAAATTTTTAAATTTAGACATCAACTTTTGATGTCTTCCTCATTTCCTTACACCTCCTTTAATATTGAATCATGATATAATAATTATAATGATTTTAATTGTTGCTTTTTTTGGCTTAGATATATTTTTATTCTTTCAAGAAATAAATTTGAGACATTTTTATTATATGTTATTTATAAGAAAAAAAGAAAAGAAAATGATCTATCTTGCGTATTGGTATTAAACATGTTGAAGTATTTGGGAGTACACATGCCAATGGATCCGCGCGTCTTTCTCATGCAGTAATTCCCCTTAAATTGGAACTCTTATAAGGAAGAAAAGCAGTAAAATGAGCGGTTTGTTTGTTTTTTTTCCCAAATACCAAACAGTCAACACCATTTACAGTTTCGGCGATAAAACTTATGTGTTGTTAGAAGTTGCATGGAAACTTAACAGCAGGAAACGGGACTTTATCAGTAAAGTAAGTGATAAACATTAAAATGCATGTGGCGCTAACGTTTGAAGTGAGGAAACTGCTATATGAGTTTTTACATGTCATTTGATTTACGTACCAGCTATTCTCCTGAAACCTTCTTTAACTTTTGTTGCCATTTCTCCGACAGGAAAGGAAATGTATAGTCTGGCGAAAACAGCAACTATAGCTGAGGCAACTGCTTTGACAGATCTGCCTACGGACGATTCTGAAATTCCGAGACTGTCCCCTACCAGACGGAGATGAGCCCCTGTCGCCACAAAACGTAGGAACAGCAAAACTTGGAAGAGAGGGGATATTGGACTGTTCCTGTTAGTGTCAGTTTTGAGTTCCTCATGGAGTCCATTGACTAAAAAGTTAATCGTAGCGGGTCGGAATCGATAGCGCTGAAAAATCTCCTCTTCCTCCAGCGTCTCCAATGGGTTGCTCCTGTCCCTAAACACTCTTGGTCGTGGTAAAGCATTTTGTCTGCGAAATCTTCTTCTCCTTCTATGCACAGCAGCCATTTTGGATGGTTGAGAATAGAGTTAAGTAACCAATTTTGTGTACTCAAATTTTTAAGAATAAAACTGAATTGGAGAATTTTTTTATTACTCAAAAGTTTTATGGCGGCGGCAGACTCTGAGAATTTGGGAGTTGAGAAAATTTTCAGTCTGGAGAACATTCTCAGACTTAAGAATCGTTTCACATGGCTGGAAAACTAAAGGATACGTTAACAATTACATTGTCTATTCATGTGCCTCAAATCTTTAAATAACAATTCGTTTAACTCTGTCTTGGCAGTTGTTTTCTGATAATTTGTCCTTAACCAATTAATGCCATTTTATATAATTAAACACATTTCAAATGTTAGCTGGAAATGTTCTTAGATTTAAAAATGTTTCATTATCTATTATCGTTTCAGAAATGGGTACTGCAATGATTTTATGTTAAGTTTTTAAGAGTAGGAATCATTATTTCAGCTGTTCATCTGCCTTGATAACTTAAAACACGTTTAAATTCCATTGACTGTCAAATAATCATTGTTCGATAACCTAAGTTTATTTGAATTTCAAAAGTCTTTTGATATTCTGAAACCGCAATAGTATTGATGGTAAATGCTCCTTTTGTCCAAATGTTGTTTCTTGAACTCTGTGGCTTAGAAAAGACTATACCTCTCTCTCCCTCTCTGTCGAGTGTTAATGAGTGAAAACTAATCTTTAAAAACAATGCAGATTTATTTATATAAAATCTTAAACACAGGAGGCAATGTTAGAAAAATTGTCTTTGTTTATAGGATTTATTTTCTAAAATTAATTTATTTCAGAGGAACTGGAATTTAATCCTACAGTTGTTTATTAAACTTATACCTATAAATCTCTTTTAAAGTTAAAATTATGTGTCAGCATTGAATATAATATTTTTATTATTACCGACAACCAATAAGAATTTAGATTACCACACATATCTTTACTGGATTCTGAAACGTCTTTATAAATGAAATATATGGAGATAACATACAATATTCAAGCTCAAAAGTCAATTCAGCAACACAAAATTGGAGCAGAGCAAACTAGGACATCCAAAACATCAGAGCTGGGATCAGGTACCATGGAAGAATAAGAATTCCCTGGTGGCCGGTCACACCCGTCATATGCTCCTTGTCATGATTGGGAAATAACGGAAAAATCTGACGACAATTCAGTGTGAAAATAATAGCCTAACAATTAGTATGATAAACGTCAACCAGCAGCTGATATTGATAAAATGTATTAGCTGACAAGGTCATTGTATCGACCAAAGAACTTGAAAAAAAATTATGACTTGAAACTAGACTGCTGATATTCAACTTGATTGACAATATCTTTCATCGTTTTAGCAATTAATTTTCATACTTAGAGCATGCTTTTGTGTATCGAATCATATGAATGATATAAACCCCGTATGTAGGTGATGAAGGTATATTGTTGCATAAGTAAGGAAATTGACGATTGTAAATTTAAAGTTATCCCGTTTAACTTAGAGCTTCACTGTGAGATTACCATGAACGTCTTTATCAAGTAAAATATCCAAATATGAAAAAGATGTGTCAGGTATCGTTTGTCTCAAGCTGACCTGGATATGTCATATGGACATAAGAATAGAAATTTTGTTTTGCCGAGAAGTGTCGTATAACCATTGAATATTTTAAATAAAAAGAGAGAAAAAAAAATAAACACACAATTAATGATAAATATTCTAACTCAGAAGAAAATACGCGACAATTAATTAACAAGCAATAATCATGAAAGTAATATGCATGTTATTGGTGAAAAGATTTATCAATCGAAGAATGACCTATTTATTTTTGTGAAAAAGATTGAGGAGACTGCTAGCGTAGGAACATGAATATTTTCATTTGAATTTCATTGGGTTAAAAAAGATCTTTAAATGATCACTATTAAACCTTAATTAGAGTTTCCTGAACGTATTACTTACACTTCATTATCCGAATCATTTGCTGTAATGTTGTATTTACTTATCATGAATGGAACTATATTTCATCTGAACATTTGTGTGAAGCGACCCTGACTTTAGTAATATATCTGGAATAGATAGTAAGCACTGATCAAATGTATTTAAAATGGGATTGATATTGTCTTATTTCATCTACATGAGCCTGTGTACACTGACGCCATGCGAAATTCTGATAACATGTGCGTGACATAAAAACAATGTGCAAAGAAAACACGATATATATATTGCTTACATTTAAAAAAAAAACTTTCTCTCTTTAGTAGAAATTTTTTTCTCTCTCTCTCTCTCTCTCTCTCTCTCTCTCTCCTTTATATTTCATCACGTGAGTACAGTGCCAAACGATGAATCTTGTATGCGCGATATCGTTTCATGGATGTTCTGTGTAGAAATAATTTACAGGGATTTGAAGAATTTCTGTAAAGGGGCAAAATCTTCCCGTACTAATTTTATATGAATGGTGTTAGATATTTTTATTATTATTAATACACACCAAGACTTGTCGACAATTTCAAAGATTAAGGAACTCAAGTTGTTCTCAGATTTACAAGAGAACGACAAGTAAAATTGATGCAAAGGATCAAATCGGCCGCAAACAAAATTAAGCATTTAAAAAATTTCATTCACAATTTTAAAAGCGTCTATGCAAGGAAATCACGTCAGGGATATTCCAAAGCGAAATAATTGAAAAATTCTTATTTCATGCTGTATTCAAAGCAAAATATATATAATATTAAAGAATTAAATAAATAGACATTTTACCACATTTGCTTTTATATAGATTATAATAGATAATAAATTCATCCATGTATAAAAATGTCAATACAGGGACGTAGCATCGATTTTCAAAGTAGGGGGACAGCCAGAGAAATTTTATCCTACTCGAGAAAACTTGACAAGCAAAAAAAAAAAAAAAAGAAAGAAAAAAAAAAAGAAAGAAAAGGAAATTGTTTTCCAAACCTGAAAATCGTATTTGACTTCTTGCTGTAACTATAAGTATGTGTGTTTGTGTGTGTGTGTGTGTGTGGGAAGGGGGGCTTCAATGAACATTTTAAATAGTTAAAAAATTATGCTTTAAAAAAGTGAAGGGGGCAGCCCCCCATGTCCCCTGTTGCCACGTGCCTGCAATGATGATTGATGAATGATAAGAATTTATTGTCATCAAAATAAAAAATGAACTACGTGCTGATACCCTGGACATTGGTCACCTGATAATCGCCCATGGTTTCTGCAGAGTAGGGTATGCTGCCGGCAAAATCATGAAAATGTAGAAAAAAAATATCTTGGTGTCATTTGCAGCTGTAGAGCATGTTCAAAACAATTTTTACTAGTTGAAAAAAAATTAAAATTTTATTCACTATGCACTTTTACCACGTCATTATTATCGAGAAAAATCATGACTATTTCCTTTCATATCTTACACACTCTCAGACTGGGGAGTATCTATTGTAAACTCTTTTTATATAACCATTAATTATCAATTATCTGATGAGAAGTGAAATTGAATTATAATAACAACAATTAATACTTAGTTTAAGCGAGTTTTTAAAAATATTTTACTCATGATTTTTACTTGTTATCATTTAAGAATTATTTTATTGAACTAATAAAAAAAAGTCTCATTTCCCCCGTGCACTTTCTAACACAACCACAAATAGTTCGGCCGCTTCTGCGGTTGATAACAACTGTATTGAACAGATGATACAAACAAAAACGGAAACCTGAATAGGTGTATATTTTTGGTCCTGTTCTTTTTATGCAAATGACGCAGATAAATAATTAGGAGATTGTAAAACATCCATGATATTAAAATGTTTACGTTTTTTGCAACCTTCCGTATTAATTGCGTGGACCCTGAGGTCCACGCAGTAAATATATAAGCGAGGTTAAACCGGATGCCATGGGCAAATGACAGGCTACGCATGCGCGAGAATGCTGGAGAGTTCGCACCGTAGGTAACTTGACCGTAGAATAATTCGCCCTATTCGATTTAGAATATGCCATTCATTTGCGAATCGCGCTTTCAATCCGCATATCGCATTTACATATTTATTGGCGGATCCAAAATTCATATACTTTTAACTAAACTTTGTTTCTATGGTACAAGCATTTTTAAAAAGTGGGAAGAACTTGCAGTAAACAGATACATGTAACTTAACAATCTGAATGAAAAATTCAACGACTAGGTAGTTTTTAAAAAGATAGAACAAGTTTCATCGGCATTGGTTTTGTGCATCAAGGCTCGCAAAATATTTTTTTTACAGAAACCCAAACCTTTTATAGAGGTCTATATATATAGCAACGGCTTTTAATGTGTGTGTGGGGGGGGGGGGGGTTACAAAAAATCTGCGTGCTACAGAGCTGTGATGCACGTGAACCATAGATCTCATTTTCCCCCAGATTTCTTCCCCATAAATCCAGAAAATGTCAACCCAGCCATTATGGGCTACATGTATCAAAATACCCCGATTTTTGAAACTGACAAAACTAAAGGTCGCTAATCGGAGATAAAATTTAACAATTTTGCTTTGAGACTACAATTAGTCAAAAGTAGGCAGATCATTGTGAACAAACCTACCTGAATATTCACTAAACCTAGAAAAATTTTTAATTAAATTTCGGTTAGAAACACATGCATATGGTATATTCAGTCCTTTTTTAAAGGACAGCAATTTATACAGTGTATATGTTTTTTTAACTTAAAACCCCAAATTTATGAAAATAAAAATTAAAATGTACCGGTGAAACCTGTTCATTTTACTCAGTGAAATAAAATCAAGCTGTTATTTTCAATTTAGAAAAGATCCCAACCAAGGACGTCCTGAGTATACTTGAATATCAATATAAATGGTCAATACAGATGTGTTTTTGTTATAACTGCATACAGAGTCGCTGTTCTTTTTATAACTGCATACATACCAACTTGATATCATAACAAACACTGTTTTGTTGATAATTTTATTGGAATAAAATATAATACTAGTAAATGGGGCTTAACGAACAGTATTTGAGCTCAGAAGTCTATAAAAAATACAAAA